TCTCCCCCTCATTCTCTTTCTCACTCCCTCATTCTCTCCCTCTCATTCTCTTTTTCTCTCTCCCTCATTCTTTCTCTCTCCCTCATTCTCTCTCCCTCTCATTCTCTTTCTTTCTCTCTCCCTCTCATTCTCTTTTTCTCTCTCCCTCATTCTCTTTCTCTCTCTCCCTCATTCTCTCTCCCTCTCATTCTCTTTCTCTCTCTCTCTCCTTTCTAGCCAGTATTCTACCTCCATTGCCCATCTGCATCTCACCCTGCTTTTCTACTTGGCATTTCAGATAAAAAGCTTTCAAGTTTAATTGGCTCCTGCGCTTGTTGTGAAACCCAACCAAATTATCTTTGCTGTTGTGGTTCTTTATAAGCAGTGGCATACTGTAACTTATCACCAGCTAATATAAAAGCACAATGTCTTATAGTACATACACAGTGTGCCCCTTGATCGCTTCTAATCAAACAGTTCTTTTTAAGTACTTTTTAAATATCAGGATACTTTGCTAAAGAAAGCATCTTTGGCGAAGCCAATGAGGATTTAGAAACAATGCCTCTGTCCAACTACTGCCAAGATGAGGGAAAGCTATAATTTTTCTATCGCTGTTGCTTTCTTTGTCTTCTACGACAAAAATATACACTTTTTACAACAAACAAGAAAAGACCACAACAGCTTCCTAGATTATTTTTCACTCAAACCCTAATTATTGACTCTTCTCGGGAACCGTTTGTCGAAATCAGCATGAGGTTCAAATGACTAAATCAATAACCAGATTAAAATTAATGACTAAAGCAATACTTGTAATTGCTTTGGATGAGAGGACTTAACCTGGATGAATGGCTTTATTACTGAATCTGGATCTAGGGGGTAAAGTTAAGAAAAAAAAAAGGTCCAAATTCCTGCTTTAAAAAATGGAGTCTATCAAATGTTCTTTTGGCTATTGACTCTCTCTGAACCCAATTTAGCTTCTTAAGATTGATGCATGTTAAAATGAGGCACGGTAAAGTCTTGTTATCACATTACACTTTGAATGACTTCACAGTATAAATCTTTCGCCTTTTAAAAATTCATTTAGAGGGCTGTGAAAATATCTACAGCCCCCTCACATCCTGGACATAAATTGTTTCAACTCCTACCCTCAAAACTACGCTATAGAGCACTGCACACCAGAACAAATGGACACAAAAACAGGTTTTTCCCGAATGCCATCGCTCTGCTAAACAAATAATTCCCTCAACACTGTCAAACTATTCACTAAGTCTGCACTACAATTACTATTAATCTTCTCATCGTTCCCACCACCCATCTCCTCCCACTTATGGCTATACCCGTGTTGCTCGAATCTTTACAACTTATATTCTTTTGTTTCCTAGTATGATTTGATTGCTTATTAGTATCCTATGACTATCACTAAGTGTTGTATCTTATGATTCTTGACGAATATATTTTATTTTTTCTTTTATGTACACTGCGAGCATATGCACCAAAGACAAATTCCTTGTGTGTCCAATTACACTTGGCCAATAAAGAATTCTATTTGCGTGCTAATTTCATATTGGAGATGAGGAAAACTGCAGTGGGAGAATGGCTTCGTCAGAATGTCCATCTGTATTATTATTTCAAATTGTATAGCCACTCATTCTCATAATTTTGGCTCTCAGTGGCACACATGGGGTTAAAAATCAACCAAAAGAACACAGTAGTAAAGATATTAATGCCAGCTAAAGACAAACCCAACATCCATTATATAAACCACACCCACAGGTTCACCTAATTTCCAAATACAATGCTCCAAAATCCTAGCAGATCAGATTCATGCATTTCAGGCAGCTTGGTGTTCTAAAAGGCAGATGCCACCTAAGATAATTTTGGAAAAGGGGCAGGATAAACACTTGAAGAACTGGCTTGTATGAATAATTGCTGAGGAATGTACAAATTTCTAAGTGGCTCAGTGGCTAAGACACTGAGCTTGTCGATCAGAAAGGTCGGCAGTTCGGCGGTTCAAATCCCTAGTATAGATCGTCTACGTGAGCAGGGGGTTGGACTAGATGACCTCCAAGGTCCCTTCCAACTCTGTTACTGTTAAACCCAAAGAGAACTGGAATTTTGGTGCAGTAAAAGAACCCAATAATAGTAGCTTTCTCTATTTTGGACACAGTGATCTGGACAAGCAATACTAGAAAAAGGAATGATCTGCTCTAAATCAAGGAACTGGATGCTTAAGCAAATGAAGGAAATTAAATTCATCTGTCCTCAGACTATTTTTTCTGCATAAGAACTGATGAGTCCCAATGCTAATATTATGCTGATTTACAACATACTTTTAAGTCTTCCTCCAATACGTTAACCAGAATTGCTCCCTGATAAGCAGAAAAATATCTTGGAGACGCGTTCACTGTGGAGCTTCATATTTTATACTTTGGCATTAGATAAATTAAGCAAATATATGAAAGTTCTTCATTCATATGGTTCAAGAAACTCAAGCATCCAAGGGAGGCAAAATGCTGCAGACTCCGAGCTCACCCTTTCAACCTACTTGCTCTCCCAAGCATTGTCAATGATCTCCTTAGTATCTTCTAGTCTGGCAGCGTAATTGTTTCTTTAGGCAAATATTTTAAAATCCAAACTCCCCAAAACGTGCCTGTTAATTCCCAGGAAAATAAGAATGTTTGCTTTCATTTAAAGCACCAAGTTAGAATCATTTTGGTACAAATTCTGGAGAAGCATTAAACAAAGCATTAAACCCTTGAACGCTACTGGCAACATATGTACCCAGTGTAACATAAAACACCCTTATTTTTCCCCTGGTATCCAATCGCCACTAGCACAACATTTAAACTTGCAATTAATCTTTAATCTCTTCTGCTCTCTCTTCTAAAAAAATAAATAAATCGTATTCTTTACATAAATGGCCCTCTTTTAGTAACTAGGACTTTATAATTTCTTTTTCTTCATTCGGTCTTGATTACATTCGCATTTAGGGCCGGAGCGTGAAAATTGCAGACCACTTCAGCAAGGCACAAATTGTTCAGTATTAATCACTGAATGCCTCTTCCAGTCTTTCTGAAGTAGCAAATCTTTTAGCTCCAAATGCAGTAGAGACCGACATAATAAGACCTCTTACACAGATGATTAAGGGGAGTGGGGCAGTGGTGGGTTGCCCCCGGTTCGGACCAGTTCGCAAGAACCGGTAGTAAAACTGGCGGGAGGCTCCGCCCACTGACGCTGGCGTCATCAGGAACGCACGCGCAGCCCCGTTGCAAGCCGGTAGTAAAGATAAGTACAGCCCAGCCCTGGAGTGGGAGTTCCTCTCCTGCAAGTTGGATTGAACATTAAGGTAAAGGTTCCCCTCGCACATATGTGTAGTCGTTCCCGACTCTAGGGGGCGGTGCTCATCTCCATTTCAAAGCCGAAGAGCCAGCGCTGTCCGAAGACGTCTCCGTGGTCATGTGGCCGGCACGACTCAACGCCAAAGGCGCACAGAACACTGTTACCTTCCCACCAAAGGTGGTCCCTATTTTTCTACTTGCATTTTTTTTACGTGCTTTCGAACTGCTAGGTTGGCAGAAGCTGGGACAAGTAATGGGAGCTCACTCCGTTATGCAGCACTAGGGACTCGAACTGCTGAACTGCTGACCTTTCGATCGACAAGCCCAGTGTCTTAGCCACTGAGCCACCACGTCCCCTGTATTGAACATTATTGTCTCCCCCCCCCAATTCTACCATTTGAAAGTAGAGAGAAAATAGCCTTGTATTATCCCTTCGTAGCTATTTATTACAAACGTTAACTCGGAGTATAAATAAATCCCTTGGAGGCAGCAGTATAGGAAGTCCTCAATTTACAACAGTTTTAAGTTACAATGGTTCTGAAAAAAAGGGACTTATGTCCATTTTTCATATTCACGACCATTGCGGCATCCCCGTGATCACGTGACCAAAATTCGGACGCTTGGCATGTATTTATGACGGTCGCAGTGTGTGAACCTCTTTTGTAACCTTCTGCCAAGCCAAGTTAATGAAGAAGCCAGATTCATGTAACAACTCTTGTGACTAACTTAACAACTGCAGTGATTCGATTAACAATGGTGGCAAAAAAGGTCGTAAAATGGGGCAAAGCTCACTTAGCAATTGTCTCACTTAACAACAACAGAAATTTTATGCTCCACTGTGATCATAAGTTAAGGTCTACCGAAATAAGTAGCTAATGGGTAGGCAGCACAAATTCAGCTTCCTCGTAGGTTGACATTTCATAGTTAAAAAAGCTATCTTTTTTTTTGAACAGTTGGGTCTTGAATCTATAAAGATTAAAAGCATGTCAGCATGTACATATCCAAAGTAACGACACCCAGGCGGGTGGGCGGAGCTTTGCTCCGCCATTACTACCGGATCGCCGAACCAACCGCGACAATTGCTACTGGATCGTTGGATCCGGTCCGAACCGGGAGCATTTCACCCCTGCTCCAAATCCAGATTTCCATTAGATAATCACATTTATTTTTCAAAATATAGAATGTGAATAGGGTTGCAGCATAACTGTTTTGCCAACGGCAAAGAATAGATAGTCCATTCTACGCGGGGAATGTCTGCGTAGTTAATCTCAGATGAAGTACCGAAACCGAACAAGTACAGAAAGCAAAGAATCAAAATTGATTTTGCTAGACGAATGAGCAATGAAACCTATTAAGCTGCTGTGCTCAAATCAGTGGAATGAGGGCTCTCTGGTGCGGAAGGTGCAGCGGAGTTCAAATGGCCTGCCGAAGCGATGCTCAAATAAGACAAAATGTAAGAAGGAATTCTAATCAGAGCCACAGAGAACAAGATGCCTTTACAAAGCAAGTGAACTTTTGGATGTGAATACAATCCCTGTATACAGATTATTAAATAGCCGTTGTTTAGGCTTTGCTTGAGGTCCAGCAGGAGTTCTCACTCGGAAAAGCCAAAATTTGAAGGAGTAATAATGAGTTAATTGAATATTGTTATATGGAATGATAAGAGGACTAAACTCCAGAAGCCTTTTCACTCCTTTATTGTATTGTTTGGAAAAAAAAGAATAATAATAAAGGTGGTGGTGGGGGGGGAGACATTTTCCCTCCCTCTCCTTTCTAAACCAATCAAGCACAATGCCCTTAAAGTAACGTAAACACAATCCTTGAATTTTGTTTAAACATGTGGCATACGATTCACCGGCGTGGGGGGGAGAAGAAAATATGTTTTGTAGTGAACTTTGGGGGCATGCCCTGACACGAATTTACAATTGTCCGTTTTTTCCAATTTTAGCAGATGTCTTCCTTGACAAAATGCCTCCCATCACACAGTCTAAATCAAAGCTAGCTTCAGAGAACAAAAGCAAAAACAATTCTCAAATGAGTTTATGAACAGCAGAAATTTGTTCATCTCTTTTCCCCACCCCAACCCCATTCCCCCCAAAATTATTCCGGCAGGTGCCGATACACAAGTCAATCACCAGCTTTGCTTCAGTCAGTTTCTGTGGGCAGTTTCTGCTGCTGGTTTCTATATTGTCATTAAAATAATAATAATAATAATAATAATAATAAACTTCTGCCCTGATGTACACAGAGGGGCTTTCTCAGGAAGTTTTCTGAAAAAAGAGAGACGATCATTGCAAGCCATCTCTGGCAGGTCTAAGCCTGATTTGATTCAGCAGCTCTTCCATCATTTTAAATTAATGTCTCGAGATGTCGGGAAATGGCAACGTTCTCCACCATGATTATGAATGGCGCTGGGACAGCGATCCAAATCCCTGCCATTGTTTAAACCTTATTCCAGGACGTGTGACTGAAGACTCTCTTAGACATTAAGAGGTTAGGTTAACCAACCCCTCTGTGCATTTCTGATTCAAGAGAATAACTTAAAATCTCCTAGTTGCTTAAATCTCCTAGTACAGTGATGGGGAGCCTATGGCACGCGTGGCCAAAGTGGCACGTGAAGCCATGTCGCTCAGCACACGCAGCCTTGCCTGTTTGTCTTCCGGGTTTCTGGCACGCATGTGCGTGGGACTATCAGCTGTCCTTTGTGTGCATGGCAGTGCTGAAAACCAGTGTGCGCATGCATGCCTGCCAGCTGATTGTTGGGTGCGTATGTGCGCCAGAACCTGGAAGTTCGGCTTTTCCGGAGCACGATCCCTTCGCGTGTGCGACAGTGCTGAAAACCGGCATGTGCATGCGCCCCAGCCAGCTGATCATCAGGTGCGCAGGTGCGCTAGAACCCGGAAGTTCAGCTTTCCCGGAGAGCGGCCCCGACGAGCACACACGCACACGCATATTTCCGCGCGATCTTTTCGGCACTTGGTGCCAAAAAGGTTCGCCATCACTTGTCCTAGTAAATCTCCTAGTGAAGAGAGTTCTTCCTAACAAGAAGGCAATGTGAATGGCTGTCTTTGCAGATAAACTGAACATGTTTTAAACATCATCTTCAAGCAGCAGCAACAAGAATAAACGGCCTCATGTTGAAAAGCTCTGCCACTTCCTTTAAGGCGAAGTCAGTCTTGAAGTAAGCTGAATTTTGCGTCGGCAGATGCTTCATACCTGTGTAACAAAACAAATTCTAAAACTGTCAAGACCTCAACCTAGGTTATCCACAACCGTGCAAATACAAAGAAGAAATATAGAAAAATCATCCATGTATATATATATGTGTCTACTTGCTGCCAAGCGCAGTGCGCTGCTATCAAAGTCAGCATCTAGCGCATCCACTAAACGTTTTGCGCAACTGCACAAAACAGTGGGATGCCAGACAGAGTGTGACTTCATTGCCTTTCAAGTTATCGCAAGGTGGGAGTTCCGTTAAGTGGCAAAGAAATCCTCAGAATGTGTGGAACAACGTTAGGCTCAGCAAGGCGCCAACTTGCCAGAGAACGAGCAACCGTGAGTGGCAATACAGGTGAGCAAATCAACCGAAGAGACACTGTGTTAATTTGGCACTGGGGGGAAAAAAAGATGACAACAGAGCAATTTTCTGTGGAAAGGATTGGATTGTCGTGGCAGAGTTTCCTGCCTGTTAGAAAAGTGCAGTCTAACAAGAGTTACTAAGACTCATGTTCCAACAAGTTATTTTCGGAATTATGATCAGCAAAGTTAAAGACAACTTCACAGCACAAAGCGGGATGTTGAGTCATTAAAGATGCAGCTCCAGAACTCTTTGGCGATCAGAGGCCTTCCGATCAGTCTTTTGTGCCAATTCTGTGATCGATGTAAACGCACACGTACACACACCCAGAAAAGAAAGAAAAAAGAAATGTGGTCAAGCACACTTTCAAACAGTACAGAGAAACAAATAAATTATCATCTGATGCGTTTCTTTGTTACTAGAGCCTCCAGCATCTATTAAAAATTGGATTACCTATTATTTTTTACTGCCGTTCTATAATGCATGATGTACACGTATATCTATATAGCTTTGTAAAAATAAATAATAGCCGTTTGCTAGATGGCTGCATTTGTTAAAGGGATCTTTTGAGGGCAAATGGAAGAACTATTCAGAGGCTTCTTCTGCATGTACATTTTCCATAAAAGTCTATGGATAAAACTTCCTTGCACCACCATCCAAGAAACGGTAAAATCCTGTTGTGTGCTATAACTTATTTTCACATCTCTGTGAAGGGTTAAAATTTAAGAAGCCTTTTGCAGTGATCAGACTACTTATGCTTAGAGAGGCAGTGGGATGGCTTGTGGCAAAGAAACTAGAAAAATTGGTAAGACCAGCTAAACACAGAGGATACTAATAATGGTTGAAAAGCAATATAGGAAGCGGAACATAGAAACACCTAAACACAAGACTAAAACCAAACAACAAACAAGACTAACCGAGAGTTAAGCCCACTCTCCAATTAATATTAACTAATATCATCCTAGCCAAACAATTCAATGCAATCAGGTTCTTTTTATTAACTACAAAACAGTTGGTCTGTTTTTATCAAAATTGTGTTTAGGTATTTCTATGTTCCGCTTCCTATATTGCTTTTCAACCGTTATTGTATGTTAATTTTATTGTAAATATTTAATAAAGACTACTTTAAAAACAAAACAAAACACAGAGGATACTAAACCAGTTCAGATTCAAGCGTGTTTAATCATTAGCCCAGAAGAAAACCTTAAGATCTGTGAGAAGAAGCTCTTTAAGAAACCGAGTAACATTATAGGAAGTTGCTGAAGAGAGCGCTTTGCTTACAGATGGTCCTTGACTTACAACCATTCGTTTAGCATCTGTTCAAAGGTACAATGGCAGTGAAAAAGGTGACTTACCACTGGTCCTCAGGCTTACGATCACAGCAGCATCCCCCCCCAGTCACATGATCAAAATTCAGGTGATTGGCACCCAGCAGGTTTTTACAATGGTTGTGATGGTCACCTGATTGCCACTTGCAACTTTCCTAGCCAGCTTTCCACAAGCCAAGTCAATTCGCTTAACAACTGTGTGATTCACTTAATGGCCACAATGATTTACAGATGAACAGAGTTGGAAGGGACCTTGTAGGTCATCTAGTCAACCCCCCACCCAAGCAGGGGACTCTACACCATTTCTGACAAATGGCAGTCCAATCTCTTCTTGAAAGTCTCAAGTGATGAAGTTCCTACAACTTCCGAAGGCAACTTCTGTTCCATGGATTGATTGTTCTCGCTGTCAGCAAATTTCCCCTTATTTCCAGGTTGAATCTCTCCTTGTTCAGTTTCCATCCATTATTCCTTGTCTGGCCTTCGGGTAGTTTAGAAAATAGCCTGACCCCCTCCTCTCTATGGCAGCCCCTCAAATATTGGAAGACTGCTATCATGTCTCCCCTGGTCCTTCTCTTCACTAGACTAGCCATGCCCTGTTCCTGCAACTGTTCATCGTATGTTTTAGCCTCCAGTCCCCTAATCCTCCTTGTTCCTCTTCTTTGCACTTTTTCTAGAGTCTCAACATCTTTTTTATAGTGTGGTGGCCAAAACTGGATGCAGCATTCTAGGTGTGGTCTTACTAAGGCTTTCTAGAGTGGTCTTAGTACCTCCCTTGATCTTAATTGTATCCCTCTGTTAATGCAATTTAGGATTCCGTTGGCTTTTTTGGCTGCCACTGCACACTTCTGGCTCATATTTAACTGGTTGTCCACTAAGACTCCAAGATCCCTCTCACAGTTACTGCTATTAAGCCTGGTTTCACCCAGTCTATATGTGTGCTTTTGGTTTTTCTTGCCTAAGTGAAAGACTTTTCTCTACATTGAATTTCCTTTTGGTAGATAGGGCCCAGTGTTCAAGTCTGTCAAGATCCATCTGGATCTTGAGCCTATCTTCTAGCTATTCCTGCCAGCTTAGTATCATCATTTACTTAACAATAAAAAAACAAAATTGGGCATAAGTCATGTAACAACTGCCTTGCTTAGGGATGGAAATTCTGGCCTCCATTAGACACAGGAAAGCTGTACAAGATAAAGCTCACCTCCATCTGAATAAGTGAGTTTCTCCAGCTCAGCTTCAAGCTCAGCATCTGTGAAGCTGGGAAGTCCTACAGAAGCTGGAGACAGTGGCTTTGGTGGAACAGAAGGCAGGGATGACTGTCTTTTTGGAGGGTCCAGGAGAAGATTGTCCAATTCTCTTTCAAGTTCCTCTGTATCAGCTTCTAAGGTAAGAAAACAAATGAATTGATCTCGGTCTTATAGGCATTTATTCACAATGTAACAAGTGTTTATACATAGGACTGAAAAAATGTAAAAAGAGGTAAACTCAGTATGGAAGCCTTCGGAGTACAAAAATGCACAACATACAATCTTAAATCCTACATGACAGCAAGAACCTGAAACAAGCGTTCTCATTCTTTTACAGTTGTGACAGTGGTGTTAATGCAAACCTTGATTGTGGTTATTTTTAAGCTTCCACATAGTTGTGGAAAAAATTTCCCCACTGATCTACCGTAATATGCAATACATGTTCAGATCTGGTACAAAGAATCACCCAAAATTGTCTTCTGTGGCTTCCTCATGCAAAGATAATCAACCCGTATCTGACCACACAATCTAAACTCATCTGAGGCAAAAATCCTGAAGCATGTAATTCATATTTAATAGAAGCACTTTTCAACCATCATTCTTATAAGCAATTAATACATGTGCAGAAGCCATTACAAATACCAATTAGGTCATGGACAATCACAGAAAGTAGAGGAATCACGATCATTAAAGCAAATATAATATTATTTAAGCCAAACAATTTTTTTTTCTAATAAAGATGGTATTACTTTATGGATAAACTACTGGATTCTGCATGGAAGCAGTAAGTGGGACTCTGCCAGCCACGGATTGGATTGTTCCTACTTGCTCTACCAACAGATTTTGTCAGAAAAAGGGAAGTTTATTCTGATTAAAAGTCTGAACTGATTGTTTACAGAAGGTTTTAGAAATCACGCCAAAGGTTGCAGACAACCTTAAAGAATAAATGTCCTAGATAAATACTTCACAATCACAAATTCAACTCATCTGGGGAATGAGATAGACATTAACACAGCAGGCACAAATAATCCATTTGACAAAAGAAATTGCTTATCTAATAATTAACTGCCACTTAATGAATATTCTGAGAACAAGGTTAAGAACTTCATCCATAATTTTAATTTAACCCATATCACATGTGGACATTTACAAATAATATTGAAAAGGAATTTCCAGAGATCAGGAGAGTGATATGTAATCCTGAGACGTAATTATTAGATAAGAGGGAAAATGTGTGACTGGCTAGGGACTTTTAGTCAAGAGTTCAATAATTCATATGCATTACAACTGGAAACAGGACATATGCCTATAAACTATAGTGGAAGCTATAAAAAATAACCTGTTACTGGCAGAATCAATTCCTTTCTTTAATGAATCTGTTTTAAATGCTGTAGAGCAATGTTTTTCAAATTTGCAACTTTAAGACTCTAAAGTTGCCACGTTTGAAAAACACTATAGAGAGCAATTGTAACTTTAGGAAAACCACATTTCCCATGTGTGGCTGTTACGGAGAAAGTTGAATCGGAAGAGTACATGAGAGAGATGGATCAGAAGACCGCATGAAGCATGTTTTGACTCACCTGAGCCATTGATCGCCACGCCTGCTAAAGTCTGAGCTACTTCATCCTGGGTATCGCAGAGCTGTGGGAGAAGCGGAAATGTTAATTACAGATATGTAATTAATGTACAGCCTGGAGGACAGAAGGGAAAGGGGGGACATGATGAAACCTTTAAACATATTAAGAGTGTGAATAAGGTTCTAGACGACAGTATTTTCAATATTCAGCAAACATCAAGAACACAGGGGCATAACCTCAAACTGACAGGAGGAAAGTTCAAAATACTTTCACTCTAGAAAGTATTAAAGGTAAAGGTTCCCCTCGCACATGCGTGATAGTTGTTACTGACTTTAGGGGGCAGTGCTCATTCCGTTTCAAAGCCGAGGAGCCAGCACTGTCCGAAGACGTCTCCGTGGTCATGTGGCCGGTATGACTCAACGCCAAAGGCGCACGGAACGCTGTTACCTTCCCACCAAAGGTGGTCCCTATTTTTCTACTTGCATTTTTTAAGTGCTTTTGAACTGCTAGGTTGGCAGAAGCTGGGACAAGTAATGGGGGAGCTCACCCCATTACGTGGCACTAGGGATTCGAACTGCTAAACTTTCGATCGACAAGCTCAGCATCTTAGCCACTGAGCCACCATGTCCCTTCTAGAAAGTATTCCTTCACAGAAAGAGCAGTGGAAGCTGGGAACCAACTTCCAGCAGAGTTGGTGGGTCAATCATCAAAACTCAGTTTAAACATACTTGGGATAAACACGCCCATCATACGACAAAAACTACCATATTTTTCAGAGTATAAAACGCACCTTTTTCCCAAAAAAAAGAGGGTGAAAATCTGGGTGCGTCTTATACTCCGAATGTAGCCCCACTCAGCTTCTCAAAGGAGGTTTCAGAGGCTGAAAAGAAGCATCAGAAACGAAGCTTCAGAAAAGAAGCCCCCAAACAGACCTTCAGAGGCTTTTTTTCTGAAGCTATTTGGAGGCTTTCAGAGGTAGGAAAAAAAGTTGTTTCTGAAACAGAGTTTCAGAAGTTTCAGAGGCAGAAAAAAATGCAAGGCACAGAGCTCACAACCAAGGAACCTGTTGCTAAAATTCACCTCTGGGAACAGCTGATTGGGGGTATTCCAGGAGGCTAATCCACCTGCTAATCAGCTTTTTTCTTATTTTCCTCCCTAAAAACTAAGGTGCGTTTTATACTCTGAAAAATACGGTAATTAAATATAGAAATAAAGAACCTCAAAGGGCAGATTTGATGGACCGCTAGGTCTTTTCCTATTGTCAGTTTTCTATGTTTTTGTATGATGTTTTTATTTTACTCATGTATGTCACCTTTGTGTGAACACTAGTCCACGACTTACAACCACAGTCGAGCCCAAAATTTCTGTTGTTAAGTGGGACATTTAAGTGAGTTTTACCCCATTTTACGACCTTCCTTGCCACCATTGTTAAGGGAACCACTGCAATTGATAAGTTAGTCGTTAAGTGAATTGACTTCACCCTTGACTTTGCTTGTCAGAAGGGGGGAATCACAGCAACGGTCATAAATATGAACCTTTGCCAAGCATCTGAATTTTGATCATGGGGATGCTGCAAAGGTCGTAACTCTGAAAAGTCACTTTTTTCAGTCCCGCTGTAACTTGGAACGGTCGCTAAATGAACGGTTGTAAGTCGAGGACTACCTGTACCTGCTTCTTACATACCTCTTGAATCTGATCCACGAGGCTCTCTGCCTTTTCCACAGTTACATCTTTCATGGACAACTTCAGCGCTCCAAGTCCAGCCTGGTAAGCATTAAATACCTTTGGGGCAAGAGAGAAATCAAGCTTATTTTTTATAGCATCTTGACCGGATGACTGAAGATTTTAGATTCCCTTTACAACAATTCCAAGGTGTGTTAAGATAAAGATTAAACAGTATGACTCACAAAACAGCACTGTGCCATAAAAAAACCCAAATGTGAATGAATTAGCTGCCAAGATGCGAAATCCAATGCATACCGTATTTTTCGGTCTATAAGACACACTTCCTCCCCACCCCCCCCAAAAAAGTGGGTGGAAATGTCTGTGCATCTTATAGAGCGAATGTTGCTGAAGCCCCGCCCACCCACCGGCCCCCACCCTTCGGCCTCTGCCTTCCAGCAATTTGCCTCCTTGCAGCAAACAGCAAACAGCCTGGTCAGCTTCAGCACAGCCTGATTTAGCACAAGCAGCTAATTGGTTGTTGGAATACTGCTGATCAGCTGTTCCAAGCTGTGGGGATCGCCACCACTCATCACCGCCTCCGCGTGCCCCGTTTTCGGCCTCTGTGCACTCCATTTTCGGCCTCTTTGTGCCCCATTTTTGGCCCATTCCAGGTAGCAGGGATCGCCGGAACAGGTTGAAAACAGGATGCACGGAGGCCGAAAATGGGGCTCGTGGAGGTGGCAATAGGTGATGGCGATGGACAGCGACGATCCCTGCAGCCTGGAACAGCTGATCGGTGGTATTCTGGGAGGTCGATCCAACCGCCAATCAGCTGCTTGTGCTAAATCAGGCTGTGCTGAAGCTGAGCAGGTGGTTTGCTGCAAGGAAGCAAATTGCTGGGAGGCAGAAGCAGATTTTTTTTATTCTTGTTTTGCTCCCCAAAAGCTAGGTGCGTCTTATGGTCCAGAGCATCTTATAGTGTGAAAAATATGGTATATTGTAAAAGGAAAGCAGAAAAGAAGAGGAGTTATTCCTTTTTTGTGGGACAATCAAAGTGAGATCCTGAGTGGATAAGTTAACAGCGCTCCTGAAAGGAAAAAATACAAAAGCGTAATAAAAATAAATAAAGCGTAATAAAAATAAATAAATAAACTCCCCAAAATAAATGTTAGGCAACGAAGAAATACCATTTGATCTGTCTGAGAGGCATATATCCGATCTAGGATGCCTTGCACCACGTCCAACTTGGAATGAAGCTCTGCAATGCGTCTTTCTACTCTTTTTCTGGACTTCAAAGATCTCAGAGCCTAAGAACAGAAAAAGCAGACTTTATTAAAAAAGTAGGAAAAACCTGGAAAACGAGACTGGGCAAAGTGGTGCTGGGTTGGTCAGATAAGAGACAGCATAGCCCACAACTGCATTGTGGGCAGGGCAAGCAGCTCAGGAAGGAACCCTCCCTAAATTATCGGGATGTAAACGTGACAGTGAGAGGAATGTGACTTTGCACTTAGAAGATTCTGTTAATGTAGCTTTGCAATCGAATAGAATTAGTTTATCTACCAGGTAAGTCTGACCAAAGGTCTTTGCACATCTGTGTAAATAACACCCGAACTCACCCACTGTCTTATCAGGCTCTAAAAAGTCATGACCACAAGTTTGGAAATCTGCAAAAGGGCAGTTTGGAGATGAACATACTGATTGAGGTACCATGTACCTGACTTCCATCAATACCTACCTGTTGCTTCTTCCCAGCTTTGCAGGCACTCCGAGCTTCCTCTTTACATCTGAAAAAGCAAGAGATGAGCTTTTCCATTTTTCAGATGAGGAATAGCTACAATCCCATTATTCTCTCTGTACCTTCAACCCAGTGGTGGAATTCAAATTTCTTTACTACCGGTTCTATGGGCGTGGCAGGGGAAGGATACTGCAAAATCCCCAATCCTTCCCCACTCCTGGGGGAACGATACTGCAAAATCCCCATTCCCTCCCCACTCCTGGGGGAAGGATATTGCAAAATCTCCATTCCCACCCCACTCTGGGGCCAGCCAGAGGTGGTATTTGCTGGCTCTCCAAACTACTCAAAATTTCCGCTACTGGTTCTCCAGAACCTGTCAGAACCTGCTGGGTTTCACCCCTGCTTCAACCCAGTTCACTATAGCTACAAGGCAAGTACAAATACACTTTTATTCTCATTTTTTGGCCTGTATTATTCAATGATCAATTGAACTGCTTTCATAAACCCTATGAACTGCCATAATTTGGCCCTCTTTCAGAATCAGATTTTTTTTCTCCTTAAAGAAGGCGGCTGAATAACCTCTCACTTGTGCCATAATCTGAGGTTTGTATGAAGATGAATGACACACACCCCACATTACCTCTCTACTTCCTGTGCCAGAGATTCCACTTTCTGTGACAACAGCTGTTCACTCTGCATCAACTGATAAACCCCAATGTCTACATCATTCATTGGAGAGACTTTTGCATGAAGCCCTCGGGCGAATTTCATTATCTGAAAGACAATGTTAGTATTTGATATTAAACTATGAGACTCATGGTATCATCAAGAATGGCCTTTTAATAAGACGAATAAGATGTATTATTGTTCCTAATATATGGTGGCTCAGGGGTTAAAGACACTGAACTTTTCATCTGGAAAGCCGACAGCCTGAGTTCGAGACCCAAGCGCTATGTGACGGGGTGAGCTCCCGTTTACTTGCCCCAACTCCTGCCAACCTAGCAGTTCAGAAGTATGCAAAAGCAAATAAATAGGTACCACTTCGGTGGAAAGGCAACAGCGTTCTGTGCAACCTCGGCGTAGACCTGCTGGCCACATGACCACAGAAGTGTCTTCAAACAACACTGGTTCCCTCAGCTAAGAAACAGAGATGAACGCCACTTCCTAGAATCGGACATGACTAGACATTGGCCTTTACTTTCATTGTTCCCAATTTAGCTTTTAAAAATGAATTGCTCATATTTGTTAGACTTAGTCATGATTTCGATTTGGCTTCCCTCTATGGATTTGTGTAAGTGGGTGTGCACGTTCAAATCAGCCTTGACTCCTCATGACTATCTGAACTAATGCCTGCAGTTTTCTTTGCAAGATTTTTATTTATTTGTTCAACTTATTGGAAGTGGAACTGTTGCCTTCTTCATTGAGCTAGTCATTGTCTCTCAGCCCTATGGCATCCAGCTGGTCTCAAGCCTAAGGCAGGACTAGAACTCTCTCTATATAGCAGGGGTCACCAACCTTTCGGACCTCAGGGACCACTAAATTCATAATTTAAAATCCCGTGGACCACTAATATGATCTGCCTAATGACTAGCTTGGTGGGTGTGGCTAGATGGTCATGTGACTGGGTGGGTGTGGCAAATTTGATGTCACTCACATTGAGGGGCGCCTCGCCGCCCCCTACTTACCCCTCCCCTGTCAGCCACTCCTCGCCTCCCTGTCCGGGCTCCTTAGGGTCCCAACAGGAAGCAGTTGCTGAAGCTAAGCAGGCACCATGAGAAAGAGTTGGCAAAACAGCTGGCTCAGTTTAAATTGGATCTGGCCGAGAAGTTGGACTGGAGGGCTACCAGGTCCCTTCCAGCCCTATGATTTTTTTTTTTTATTTTCTATGATTTCTTGTAGAGATAGGATCCCTGCGTGCCTGAAGCAACCAGTTGCGTGCCATACCTTATTACCATTCTGTTCCAGGACAGTGACCCTCTTTTCCTTCTGCAATTGGAGCAGCACCAGACAAAATGTCCGTTCATCTGGACAGATGCTGGTGCATAGGGAACGCAGCTCAGACAAACCAACAATAGGATGGGATGAAAGTGTGGAATTCTGGTAGAGATTGTAGACTTCTTCTGCCTTCTCCTAAAAAATGCAAAGACAAACAAATGCTTAATATCCAACTATGGCTAAAAAGAAAACAGACAAAACATCATTACTGGTGAGAGCATCTCACAACTATCACTTACAATAGAAGGCCTAATACAGATCACCAGAATTGTTATATGTGGCACGTATATTAAATATCTGCAGAGAAGATTGAACAGTGATTATTGTATGACAGTTCTTAAATTTTATGTTTCCAGTAGCTAACTTGCAATTGACAAAGTGAAAAAAATAGAACATGATCCATGACACAAGAGGGGGAAAAATAACATTATTTATTTTATTTATTTATTCATTGGTTCGATTTATATGCCGCCCTTTTCCGGAGACTCAAGGCGGCTTACAATGCGTTAAGCAATAGCCTTCATACTTTTGTATATACCTCTTAGTAGGGCTTTTGGGCCCCCATTAAGCAGTGTTCTTTTTTATACAAAGTCAGCTTATTGCCCCCACAAACCGGGTCCTCATTTTACCTACCTTCGAAAGGATGGAAGGCTGAGTCAACCTTGAATATTACATAAAATAACTGAGGTATATTTTTGATGCAATTTGATGCAGAGGTTAAGCTCCAGATTAGAAACTGGGAGACCACGAGTTCTAGATCTTGTCCTGTTAGGTGACTTTGATGCCAATCACTCTATCTCAGATCTAGGAAGGACGCAATAGCATATCACTTCTGAAAAAGCTTGCCAAGAAGGGACAGTCTAGGGTCTAAACAGTCACCAGAAATCAAACCTCACAAGAAATAATTTTTTATAGCAAATACCTGTAAAGCAAATATCGGTACCTGTCATTCATACCTGTAAAGTTTTTACTTGTTCATGTACTATATTATATTAGATCGTAGCAGAGGAATGTATCATGAAGTAGTTGGCTCCTATTCTCAAATTATTGTCATTCCAACTGATCAGTTAAAGGACTACAAGAACAATGCTTGTGTATTTATCTTTATTCTTTTTTTAAAAAAAACCACTTGATTTTTTAAAGTGCTGGTCTTATACTTTTTACTTCGTGCAAGTAATTTCTTGGAGACAAATCTTGCTGGAGGATCATAAGGTGAATGTTTGATGAATAAGAAAACTAGTTATTTCTGAAACAAATATGTCTATCAAAAATATCACTGTTTGAAAGTTAAACATTTCCCTCCTTTATATAGATCTGCTTAATGGTGGCATTTTGGACAATATCAACTTTCCTAAAAGATCCCCTGTTGTCAATATCTATGCATCCATAAACTGAACAGAATAACAGAGTTGAAAGGGATCTTGGAGGTCTTCCTATCCAACCCCCTCCTCAGGCAAGAAACCCTACACCATTTCAGACAAATGGCTGTCCAATCTCTTCTTAAAAACCTCCAGTGTTGGAGCACCCAAAACATCTGGAGGCAAGTCATTCTGCTGATTGATTGTTCTCACTGTCAGGTAACTGTCAGATAATTTGACAACTTAATTAGATAACTATGGGTGACAATGATAGCAATATTCCAGTATTTGAGAGGTTGCCATAAAGAGGAGGGGGTCAATTTATTTTCTAAGCACCAGAGGGCAGGACAAGAAACAATGGCTGGGAACTAATCGAGGAAAAAAGCAACTTGGAATTAAGGAGAAACTTCCTAACGGTGAGGACAATTAACCAGTGGAACTGTTTGCCTTCAGAAATTGTGGGTGCTTCATCAATGGAGGTTTTTAAGAACAGAACAGACAATGATTTCTCTGAAATGGTATAGGATTTCCTGTTTGAGCAGGGGGTTGGACTAGAAGATCTCCAAGGTCCCCTCCAGTTCTATTCTGATTGATAGGTCACCTCTATGGAAGTAAGATGAACTACACTGTAGCTCTTCCTCCACTTTAGGAAAAAATTCTGCTAATTCTCAACCCAAACAATCTAAAACTAATATGTTAGGTTCTATGCATCTGTGCATTCTAGATAAGCATTGTTTACAGGCACTAGAGTTGCCTTTTTCAAAATGTGCCATTTGAACATTTAACTGATATTATAGTTCTACAGAAATCTTATTAGCAAGATATATATATATGTGTGTGTGAAGTCTGTCCAGTATATTTGTGCAAGAAAGCATAGACTCAGACTAAAAGTACCTTGCGGGAAGAGAACGAGCGAATGCCTTGCAAGGAGCTGCATTTGCACTGTAGAAAGTTAGCACCCACCCCTCTCCTAGAAGAATGAAATATTGTGAGAAATATTAAAAAGGCAGAACAATGGAGAAACATGCTCTTTGAAAGCAGCCCCCACCTTTCTTAATAGCCCCCAGCAGGTCTGGGCCAGCCTATCTACAAGACAAAAGACCTTCAGCTCCAGGGTGATGGGATTAAGTCATGACCCTTCAGGACATAATAGGATTAACCCACTACCATCTAGCAGCAGAGCTCATCACATTGCACAATCTCCTAAGGACATTGCATCACCCTCCAAACCTCAACCAAACTTAGCTCAGATTTCTTCCAACAGTATGGCTTAATCTATTTCTCAAAAATTAATATATTTTTGTCTCAAAAGGTAGCCAGCACAATGGGTTGTGAGACAGCATGATCAAGATCAGACCCTCAATCTCCTAAATCAGGGGTCTCCAACCTTGGCGGCTTTAAGACTGGTGGATTTCAACTCCTAGAATTCCTCAGCCAGCTTTGCTGGGAGTTGAAGTCCACCAGTCTTAAAGTCGCCAAGGTTGGAGACCCCTGTCCTAAATAAAATAAAGATACCAAACTATCAAGAAGTAAGATAGATGAAGCCCTGGGTGCAAGGTCTTTCCTTTTACCAAATCAGCACTCCCAGATATATATTAAGCCAGGCTGTGGAGTATAAATCATCATAAATTAAGTCATAACTTCTAAGGAAAAATTTCCTGACAATTAGAACAATCCATCAATGGGAATACAGCTTGCTTACAGAAATTATTTGTGCTTTAACACTGGAGGTTTTTAAGAACAGAACAGACAATGATTTCTCTGAAATGGTATAGGATTTCCTGTTTGAGCAGGGGGTTGGACTAGAAGACCTCCGATGTCCCTTTCAACTCTGTTATTTTGTTATTCTGTTCTAGGCTATGGGGGCCTTATGTACTTTAGCCACAGGTTATTCATAGTTTTAAAATAGTTTCTGAAATGTATATACCCAGAAATGTTTACAGAGGTTGTTTTTTTTTGTTCATTTGACATTAAAATAATTCTGAACCCTAAGGCCAGGGATTAACTTTTTCCCCACAGTGGTCATTTTTTGTATATTGACTAGGTTGGCTTCAAGTGAGGCAGCAGTACTGTAGCACCTCATTAAATTAGGGGTATAGTATAGAAAAGTACATCAGTATGTTTTTTAAGCATGCTCTCTTCCTATTGGTTCCTATTTATAGAGTTATTACGCAAACACAATTAATGCAGACTATATACTCACATAAGTCGTGCCAACTGGGTCCACATATAATGCTAAGCCATAAGGCGTGGTTTATAAATTGCAGCAATTAACACATACTCCAAGCAACCATTATTTCCTACCATATGATGTGAGCCTAACTAGACAAGAGATTGAAATAGCAACAGGAATCCACAACAGACTATAAATAAAGCCCGGGATCTGATTCATTTATACAGATTTTAAAAATATCTGCCTCCAAACAACCTTGGGTAATTTACATTATAAAAAGCCAGAATAATAAAAGACACACTAGAGCAACATCAGTTAGCAAGGGTTGAAGCCACCAGAACAGCAAGAGCCTTTGTATCTCCCTTAACATCTGAAGCAGGAGAGGAGGAGGAGGAGGAGGAGGAAGAGGAGGAGGAGGAGGAGGAGGAGGAGGAGCAAAGCAGACAGTATGTTTCTAGATCGGGGTCACCAACCTTTCGGACCTCAGGGACTACTAAATTCATAATTTTAAATCCCGCGGACCACTAATATGATCTGCCTAATGACTGGCTGGGTGGGTGTGGCTAGGTGGTCATGTGACTGGGTGTGCGTGGCCAACTCAATGTCACTCACATCAAGGGGTGCCTTGCCAGCCTCTACTCGCCCCTCCCCTCCCGGCCCCTCCTCGCCTCCCCTCCCAGGCTCCTTAGGGACCCAACAGGAAGCAGTTGTTGGAGCTAAGCAGCCACCACAAGAAAGAGTTGGCAAGGACTCTTTAGTTATGTAAAGGGGAGTTAAAGTGCAAGAGGGAGATAGGAGTCTATAGATAGTTTGCATATGTTAGCTTATGTTTGTTAAATGCTGTATTTTGCTCTGGGAAGTCCAGGGGAAGGGGGAGGAGGGGTGGGTTGGGAGGGGTGGGAAAATTGTTTGTAATATAATTTTTTAAAAACTTTGTAATAAAAAAGAAAAGAAACAGTTGGCAAAACAGCTGGATCAGTTCAAATTGGATCTGACCGAGAATGAGGCTCAGCAGAAGCACCACACTGAGGACTTCAAGCAGAGGGAAGCAGAGGGAAGACCTGCGGGAGCGCAAGGCCAGATACTGGCGCCTGGAGGCTCAGCGGGCTGAGATGGTCAGCCAGTTCCAGGCCACGATGGGGTCCCACTGGAACAAGGCCCTCCGGCTTTTCACCACCAGCAGCGCTTCCCCCCAGCCTTCACCCAAAGCCCCACACCAGGAGACTCCAAGTCGGAATTTCTGCCCCCCCTCCAACCCACACAAAAAGACCCCGAAGGGGGAGACTCTCTGCAGCGACACAAACGTTCATTGCACGTATCCGTCCCAGGGGCCGTAGTTTGAGGACTCCTAATTTAGTGCAATATTAAAAATGCAAATAATTTTTCTGTGGGCCACCAAAATTTTCTTGCAGGCCATCGACCTCCGGTTGGTGACCTCTGTTCTAGATAGAAACACCTATATAGAACAATATAAATCTCACAGGGAGACAACAGTACCCTACCCCAAGACCTGAGAGTAGCCAAAAGATTTCAGTGCCTTTTAGTATATCATCAAAGTGGTATGAATCTCTGGGGGCCTGCCCTGACAGAGAAGGTAGATGTCTCCAGAGTTCCAGTAGATGGCATTGTTTAACTGTGGGGACTTAAAGGACACTTACTCTGGATAACTTCATTAGGTAGGCTTGTGCTTATGTAATGGGCACATGTTATGTCTCAGACTCACAAGAAATATCGTGCCTTCAAGATTAACAAAAACACCGACACCTATCCAAACAAGCAAGTGCTTTGTGAGAAATTCTTTAGAAGTCTTCCTGAAAATACAGCAACTCAATGGCGAAGAACAACTCTTATAACTCATGTAAATATCAAACATGTCCTATAAATTTGCAGGTTTAGCTAGTCAATATAGAATTAGCAAAACAGAAGGTACTGACAGGAAGAAATGTTTAAAAAGTCGGGGGTTAAGTCAATGCATGGAAATGAATCTAGGAATTTGAATCCCTATTCAAGAGCTAGTTCTGAGGAGACCAGGGCAAAGCTCAAGTTAAAAGTTGGCGTTATTGCAGATACTGAAGAAGCTTTAACTGCAAAGAAGATCCAATGTCAGAATCCAGTGGTGAAATTCAATTTTTTTTACTATTGGTTCTGTGGCTTGGTGGGCGTGGTATGGCTTGGTAGGTATGGCAGGGGAAGGATACTGCAAAATCCCCATTCCTTCCCCACTCCTGAGGGAAGGCTATTGCAAAATCTCCATTTCCACCCCACTCTAGGGGAAGGATACTGCAAAATCTCCATTCCCACCCCACTTTGGGACCAGCCTGAGGTGGTATTTGCCGGTTCTCCAAACTACTCAAAATTTCTGCTACCGGTTCTCCAGAACCTGTCAGAACCTTTCTGACAGGTTTCACCCCTGTCAGGATCTAAGAATTAAACTAATTTTTAATTCATCTATTAAATTTTATCTTTTTCTTCTGCCCTTACACAGTAAGACAATACTTGTTATTCATTTCTCAACCTTAGGTGCGGAAGGCTCTGGCACAATTGTTTTGATAATTATCCTGTCTGGTCTCGGGCTCCCTGCTTCCAACCTTGCCAGCTTCATCCCTCATGCCAAAACTAAGAAGGAATCCCACATTTCATAACAAGTTTGGACAGATGGGATAAGAACAGTGGAATGAGTAATGGAATGAGGAATCTTCATTTCAATAGACATAGAATGCCCAGCGACTTCAGAGGGCACACCTACTGCAGCTGCTTAGAAACACGTTCTTAACTGCAATATGAAAAAAAAAACATGTTTTTTGCAAAACGATGCAAAACTGGAGAGAGGTGGTTCTGGCATGTTAACCTATTCAATTAGAGAGCATTCTGAGAGTCCACCTCAACTTTGTGCCAATCTACAAGTATAATTTAGAATCGAATAGAATTCTTTATTGGCCAAGTGTGATTGGACACACAAAGAATTTGTCTTAAGTGTATATGCTATCAGTGTACATAAGGAGAATAAAATACATTCATCAAGAATAAAAAAAGATACAACACTTAATGATAGTCAAGGTTACTAATAAGCTATCAAATCCTACTAGGAAACAAAAACAATATAATTGAAAGATACAAGCAACATGGTTATAGTAATAAGTAAGAAGAGATAGATACTAGTAAGGAAGAGAAGAAGAATAGTAATACAGTCTTAGTAAATTATTTGACAGTGTTGTGGGAATTAATTGTTAAGCAGAGTGATGGCATTTGGGAAAAAACTGTCCTTGTGTCTAGTTTTGGTGTGCAGTGCCCTATAGAGTCTTTTTGAGGGTAGAAGTTGAAACAATTTACCGTATTTTTCGGAGTATAAGACGCACCTTAGTTTTTGGGGAGGAAAATAAGAAAAAAGCTGATTGATGGGTGGATCGGCCTCCCAGAATACCCCCAATCAGCTGTTTCCAGAGGTGAATTTTAGCAACAGGTGCCTTGCTTTATTTTTGCTTTTTTTTCTGCCACTGAAACTTCTGAAACTCTGTTTCAGAAAAAACTTTCTTTTCTGCCTCTGAAAGCCTCCAAAACAGAGCTTCAGAAAAAAATACTTTTTTTTTTCCTGAAGTTTCTTTCAGGGGCTTTTTTCCTGAAGCTTCTTTCAGAGGCTTTTATTCTGAAGGACTATCTGTACTCTGTTCAATCTCCTTTCTTTGGTATTGGTATGTAGATTAACCTCTTCCGATCTGCTGGTTATTGTGTCATTCTCCAGATTTCTTAACATAGTTTGGTTAGAACCTTTACTGATTCTTCTTTTGTTCCTTGCAATACTATTTTAGATAAAAGCTGGTTATTGTGTCATTCTCCAAATTTGATAACATCATTTGGTTAGAATCTTTACTGATTCTTCTTTTGTTCCTTGCAATATTATTTTAGATAAAAGCCTTTCAGAGGCTTTTTTTTCCTGAAGCTTCGTTTTTGAGGTTTTTTTCTGAAGCTTCTTTCAGAGGCTTCTTTCAGCCTCTGAAATCTTCATTTGCGAGGCTGGGCGGGCTACATTTGGAGTATAAGACGCGCCCAGATTTTCACCCTCTTTTTTTGGGGGGGGGGGGAACAGTGCGTCTTATACTCTGAAAAATACGGTATGTCCAGGATGTGAGGGGTCTGTAGATATTTTCACAGCCCTCGTTTTGACTCGTGCAGTATACAGGTCCTCAATGGAAGGCAGTTTGGTAGCCATTGTTTTTTCTGCAGTTCTAACTATCCACTGAAGTCTGTGTCTGTCTTATTGGGTTGCAGAACCAAACCAGACAGTTATGGAGGTGCAGATGACAGACTCAATAATTCCACTGTAGAACTGAATCAGCAGTTCTTTGGGCAGTTTAAGCTTTCTATGTTTGTGCAGAAAGAACATTCTTTGTTGAGCTTTTTTAAGTCCATTTAAGCTTTGTTGAGTCCATTTTAAGTCTTGAGATATGATAGAACCTAGAAACTTGAAGGACTCTACTGTTGATACTGTGTTGTCTAGTATTGTAAGAGGTGGTAGCATAGGAGGTTTTCTTCTAAAATCCACCATTTCTAGAGTTTTGAATGTATTTAGATCAAGATTGTTCTGGTTGCACCACAAGGCTAGTTGTACAACCTTCCATCTGTATGCAGATTCATCGTTGCCTTGAATGAGACCAATCACTGTTGTATCATCTGCAAACTTCAGTACTTTAACAGAGGCATCTTTTGAGATGCAGTCATTGGTGTATAGAGAGAAGTGGAGAGAGCACACAGCCCTGGGGGGCTCCTGTGCTAATTGTGCAGGTATCTGATGTGATTTTGCCTAGCTTCACCTATTTTTATTTTTAGTGAGTAAAAAGAGTCCTTGAGAGAATCTCATTAGACCTGACAACAGGAAATGAGTTGTTTCCCTCTGTTTACATAAGATATAAAATAGCATGCCACTGGAAATCCCAAATAAATATATGAATTCTTAAGACCATTCTATATAAAAAAAACCAAATCTGTGAAAAGAGGCTGTGTTTGTAGTATAGCTTGCCTGTGTGGGTCTGCCATGTGTACCGTGAATGTATCTATTGTACACTTAAGACCGTCTTAATTGCATTTCTCTGAACTGTTTGCAACCTAGTTCAAACAGATAGTATAAAAATATCAAACAATATGCAAGCAGCTAAAAAATACAGCACGGAGAAAACCCATAGTTGCAAAAGCACAGTAATACAAAAATACAGTGTGACAATCACAATAAAGAGCCACAAAACATTATCAATAGGACTATTTTTTAAAAAAATAATCGTTGGGAAACTCTTATTTAAATTACTTGGCTCCAAAAACAGCTTAGTATTAGATGGCAGGCAAGTCCTTCCAGGAAGGGATTCCAGGAACAGGGTGAGTAATGGAAAAGGAGGGAGGTCTTTTTTGAATGGGAAAGAAATCTTACCAAAAGCACCAAGACAAAACATCTGTCTCCCCAATTTATTCCCAATATCTGATCCACAAATATGAATCAACGTTACCTTGAGAATCTCCACGTAAATCAGGACCTCCTCTTCCTCTGGCATTTTGCTGTCACCTAATACGCTAGACAAAGTCCACTTCAGGGGTTTCAAAATGAAAACTCCCACACCCCAGGAGATCCAGCTACTGTCCACACTGGCCATGAAATCAGACTCTCTTTGCAGTTTGCCCCGTCTAAAGATATAAATGAAAAGTCATGCGTTTCAGAGAAGCCAAAATAAATGCTTCACACAATCTGCAAAAAGATAAACGAGGATGGTCTGCTACAATACGGCAGTTTGAAAAGCTGCATTATGGCTTAAAATGATTAGGCCACTGCTGTAAGAGAGAAAGAGATTGCCTGCCCACAGTCTCCTGAGAACCATAACTGATTGCAGGAATCCATATTTCTAATCAAAGGTTTCTTCCATTTATCTGAGAACACACATCAGCAATGAATTGCTATTTTTCCTTAATATACACGAGAATCTGAAAGGAGTGGAGAGAAAAGGTTTAATGTCGTGCAAATACTTCACTTTCATCCATGTGAAAGTGACGCATCAAAGATAATTTGCCAGGATTTTTATTTTTCCTTTTCAACTTCCATAACACAATGCCCTGCCTGCCCAAGCAAATACTACATGATTTGGGGATATTACATTTTTTCTGAATGCTGACTCAGAGTTGATTAATTTTCTTCTTCAACATATGGAACTCTTATAATCCTCTAGCACAGGGGTCTGCAACCTTAAACACTCAAAAAGCCATTTGGACCCGTTTCCCACAGAAAAGAAAGCACCGGGAGCCACAAACCCTTCCTGTGCCTGACTATTTCTTGAGCAGCCACAAAACTAGCATATGTAGTTGAATTTATTTTTATTTTTTTAATTTATATACCGCCCTTCTCCCTGAGGACTCAGGGCGGTGTACAGCCAGAATTAAAAAACATGAAATACAAATATTAAACGTTCTGTTTTTTTCTGAAACTTAACTTTTCTTGGATTTATCCATGGTTGGACTATCGGGGTTTGAAAAGCACAATAAATTGTGTGCCGGTGGGTGTCGCACATTGATGGTGTGACGCATATTTTGAGTGACAGGGAGCCACAGCAGAGGGGTGAAAGAGCCACATGCGGCTCCAGAGCCGCAGGTTGCTGACCCCTGCTCTAGCGGCTATTTTGAAACACTCGCCTCCTTCTCTA